AACAGGTGTCAAGGCTGTTTTTCTATGTAGAGCAGTTCATACATTTGGAGAAAGTCATATTTATGTGCTTGTTTGGGGTTATGGTAATACACATTATTGTCTGCTGTTTAGAATTATCACCATGCCATATAAATAAGCTAAAATAATTATATATATGATTTTTTTTTCATTGTAAAACGTGACATTCCTGTCATCCACAATAACACATAATTAGTTTTCTCCCTATACAACCATAAACCACTTCATGTCATATTCCATGTAACATAATGCTATTGCCCTTTCCAAAACCATTCTATTGTCTGCCGTTTGTAGGCCGAATGGAATTAGGTGGAACTTATGATTATTGTAGTTGTTTTGCAGATGTATTTACATCAGTAATCATAGTTGTCATTGCTTGTGGTTTTGGTATTCTTTTATTCATTAAAAATAGTTTTGGGAACAAACAATATTGGGAACACTGGAGTCTGAGGAAGAAAAATCAATCCAGAAGATTCTGATGAAAATTTTGAAAAGTTGCTGCAACATGAAAATAATAAGTTGCACATTATTCTGTGCATCTGTGTATCATTTCTAAACTTCTTAACCTAAATTACAATTAAATGGTTAATGTCGATATATATATATATATATATATATATATATAATCACAGTATATTGTTTGAGTGAAATGCCTTAATAATATCACAAAAATGTCAAAAACTATATAAAGAAACATTCTATATAAAGACAGAAAAGGTGACAGGGCTTTTGTGTCACTTAACCAGTAACATAACTTTGTTGTATATGTGGATCTTGAGTTTCTATATGTTGTGAGAATTTACTTTTATTAGCACTGATACTCTTGGATGAATAAACTTCCTCTCCCGACATCCGCAATCTGTGAATGGATGTTTCAGAAACCAGCCGAAGGCTGAAAACTTTAGAGCAGCGGTGGCCAATCTTATCCACAAAGGGCCGGTGTGTAAGCAGGTTTTTGGAATAACCTGTAGGTCAGCTGTTCAAACCCAGGTGTGAGGACTCTACAGCCAATCAGTCCTCTAATTAGTAATCTAATTAGGGAGTTGCAGCGAAAACCTGCATACACACCGGCCCTTTGCGGATAAGATTGGCCACCCCTGCTTTAGAGTAAAAACAAATTTTATTCACGTGTGACCTTCACCATTTAAAGTCTGAGGATATATCTGAGATTATCTCCTATTTTGCAGTTCACTCACACACTAAGGGCACTTCAGAGGTACCAAGTCACCTAAACCACATGTTTTTTGGACAGCAGGAGGAAACCAAAGTGGAGAACATGTGAACTCCACATGCATCCCCAGCCATGGAAAAGGAACAACAGTTGTCCAGGCCATTTTAAGGTGATTTAAATATGAATAAACACTTTCAGTTAAATATTATTACTAATTATTAAATATGATTGAGAACTGGGGCGGCGTGCTGGTGCAGTGGGTATTGCTGTTGCCTCGCACTTCTGGGACCTGGGTCTCCACCATGGCTCCGTGTGGAGTTGGCATGTTCTCCCTGTGTTGCCCTGGGGTTTCCTCTGTGAATGGTGGGCGCCCCATCCTGGGTCGTTCCCTGCCTTGTGCTCATAGGTTCCAGACACTTCCCATGACCCTGAATAGGACAAGCAGGTACAGAAAATGGATGGATAGATGAAAAGCTGAATGACATGATATTTAAAAACTACACTATTTAGCTGTATTTCTTCAGAAACTCTTTACAGATTTGAAAGTTCAGCAAATGACTGGACTAGAGTATTAATGCCTTTGAACTTACTTGCAAAGAGTTTTAAGAATACCACAGACCTCAAGGAAAACAAACAAGTAGATTCATGATCAAAATGACTGAATTCTCACATGAAGCACAATCCTACTTTGTTTTTTTTTTTCTTAAAGACCATGATGCTTGCAAAAGTTGAAGGTCGAAAGAGGACAAGGACAACTACCAGCAAGATGGACAGCCCCAAGCATCACAATAAGGGACATGCCACTAGGAAGCCATTAGACGAGGAGTGCCATCTCTATGGTCACAGACACCTGACTTTGACTTGATGGAACCTAATTATGCACAGAATACTTTAGATTTCAACTTTACACTTCATTTGCATATGCAGCAGAGTATTTTCCAAGGAGATTTCCTCAAATTTAGATGCATGGTTCAATACTAGCCTTTCTACAGTCTTACTTGTTAAGTCTAGTCTTTTCTTTAGCTTGTCTAACAAAAACTCCACTTGCTGTCACTTTCCTGAGAGGGCAAAAGTTTCTCGGCGACCTGGAAGATTGCTGCTAGTCTCAGAAGGAGGAGGACGCTCAGCCATAGACACAGCTGTCAAGCATATTCACTTCAAAGCGCAGGATTATTTACATATCAGTCCCTCGATGGCTTTTTGCAGTCCTGTATAACTGAAAACAATCTACGCAGATCATTTTCATTACTGGCACAAAGCGCTCATCAGCACACCAGTCCAATTAGTCTCTCTCACTCTTTTGGCAAACAACTGATGTTGAATCTGCTTAACTCGGATATGCTGAGAGTATAGCCTGGTTAAATCTGGATGCTAAGCAGATAAATTGTATAGTTTCTCAAAGCATTTCCATATGATCATTTCATTGATCTAGTTCCTTTATATCAATATTTGTTAACTGAAGTGTCTGAAATGCCAACTTCAGTTGGACCCAGTATATTTCAACATAACCATTTGTTCACAAGGAAGTTCTACACAAGCAGGAGACGAAAGAGCTTCTCACCCACATTAGAAATTGTTTTTCTTTGGTCGCTTTTTGAGCCATAATACATTCATGTGGTCTATGGCAGCAATTTCCTATTACACACATGAATGAACTGTGCTCTGTGAGAGGAACAAAATCTACTCTGATACCCACAAATGAAACAACAGATGTTCATATCAAAGCGGAGGAAGATGGCAACATGATTAATTAAATCTGAATATACTTAAGCAAACTTTGCTCTTAAATGAGGCTGCCTTAGCTTGTACCCAACTGCCCAAAACACATTTCTATGTTTAGTAGCCCCATTGTCAAATGTTGATGCCTCCCTCTAACTCAAAGCTCTACAGTGGAAAAGCTAAATGTGCTAAGATTCCCCAAATATATTATGCACGTTAAAAGCTGAAATAATTACATCAATAACAGCCTTATGTGGTTTAATGAAATGTGCTCCTCTTCATGCTTTACACAAGAGGTTCAAACACATATTGACTACATCTGACACAAAACATATGCGTCTTTGTGGTCCTTCTTATACTTTACTTGACTTTTTCAGACAGCCCAAAAAATTAGTTTTTTTGTGGTTTTAACAGACAGAGACAAAAAGATAGATGATACTAACTAATCTCAAAGGAAAATGTATACATGTAAATGGGAAGCTACAGTATACACTTGGTATTTAAAAGACCTAGCAGAAGGTATATAATGGCAAAAGTAGTATAAGGTAGATACACCAAAATATATAATAAAACCAATGGATAATTTTGACAGAGTCATTCCTTGAGATTCCTTGTTTATGATATGACATTCAAATTCTAGTTCCCATTAATCTACTCTCTAGTTACTGGTACCATTTTATATATGTATCATTTATCCAAGACGTTGCTTGTGTAGTAATTTTGCATTGCAGCAGAATATTGATTAAATTTAGTACCAATGTAATCAATATTTGCATTTTGTCAGTACTGGGTTCTTTGCAATATGTGTGGTCATTAGATGGGAAAGTAAGGAGAAATCAGGTTTTGTTCTACATTTTTAACAGTCTGACAAAATGTGTATAGGAAACTGAAAAATGGAAGCCAATACCAAACACATACCTAGTACCTCACATCAAAAATATATCTTATTAATTTGAAACGTAAATCCTTTATTTCTCTGAATATCCTCCTTAATTACTGCACATACTGAAACGTAACATCTAAAAATTCAAGACATAATTCTTTTATCTTCAGTTACCATTGTGACAGAATAAATTGAATGTATTAACAAATATAAAAGCTGCTTTATGTTTACACAGTACCCGTGAAAAGTCTGGACATGCCTATAAAGGGGAGTGATAGTGTTGCATCACATGACCAGACCACCTGACCTAAACGCAGTATAGTAAAGGTTTTTCAGGAGTTTGACCCGAGAGTGAAGGAAAAGCAGCCAATGAGAGCTCAGCATATGTGGGACCTCCTTCAGGACAGCTGGGAAAGCATCCCAGGAGGCCACTGGTGTAGAGGAGACAGTGGGGTCAGCCAGTCCCTGGAGCCATTGGGGTTAAGGGCCTCGCTCAAGGGCCCAATGGTGGCATCACTCTGCCTGGCCTCAGAACTTGAACCAGCAATCTTCTAAATTCTGACCCACAAAGCCCCCCAGCAAATTATTTTTTCACAATACATTTTTGGTCAGTGCATAACCCCATATGTTATTTTACAGTTTTTTTTATGTCTTTATAATTATTCTAAAACGTAGAGAATAGTACTAATAAGCATTTCTATGGGTAGGTGTGTCCAAACTTTTGACTGGTGCTGTATTTAATTGATTTTGTTGTTTTTTTAAATATATATATATATATATATATATATATATATATATATATCAGAAATTAGACCTGTGAAATAAGTTGTGCGTGTTGCCAACATGATATCACTAACCTGTCTTTGGGAATTAATGATACCGTGTTTTGATGATCCCTCGACCTTGACGACGATAAGCGGTTGGAAGATGGATGATGTTTTGATGAAGCTTGGCTGCCTTGAGGAGGTTAGCATTGACAAAATATTAAACATGTAACGCTGTTAAATTGGAAGATAATTAAACACGATCGGTATGTGGACGGCATTTGATTTCTCTCTCTCTCTCTCTCTCTCTCTCTTCTCCATTTCGGATTGTTTAAAGGATTTCAGCGGTAAACAAAAATCAAACACCTCAACAACATGCGTTGACGGGTCTTTTTGAAGAGCACATGGCTTTGAAAGCACAGCTGAATCTATATGTTTGTGCAGAACTGTAGTCCCAGATAGGTCGGTGCAGCGAAGAAGGTTTCGGGGCCGTTATTGAATATTTACCATGAGTGCGCTGTGGGACGGAGTACAGCGTCCACATGTTACCGTGCGCAACGTGGTTTTTACCCCGGTAAGCTGAGAAGGACTGCCATTGGCTGGCGATGCGGAGATCAGCCCTGCTCGCACATACAAAACCAAGTGAACTTCCTTCCCGAAGTGAAACGGCTGAGAGTAAAGAGAGGAAGATAGGGGCTAGAAACACTGCAATACCAGCTTTCCCAGGTGTCATTATCATTTGAGAGATAACTGAAAGCTTGCGTGGAAGTCTGACTGATTCCATTACGTTCAGATCAGTACTGGGATTTAACATGGCACCTTGTCAACATTTACTTGTCATTTTTTTGGGATGGATCTATATCTGCAGTGGATATCGCTTTATGTTGGACGAACATCTCCCTGGACTGAAAAGAAAGGCGGAAATGGGACAGTTTGAAGAGAGCAGGGATGATGATGGCTTCGCTAAGGACGAGGGCGACCTTGTCTTACAGGAGACGGTATCAGAGCACATGCAGATGCTGTATGAGAAATACAACAGTGCTGGATTTCATTTCAGGGATGGAAATACGGTTCGCAGCTTCAAAGCACACTGGGGTATGTAGTGATCTTTGTTTTTTGTAAATACTGTTATATACCGTCTATAATATAGTCTATAACTACTTCTAATTTACTGCAAAACTAGAGTTTCAGGGTTGTCATGCAACACAGAGACACCTGTTGGGACAGCTACTGTAATCTGTTGGATGACAGTGGATTTGTGAAAAGAAAGACTAAAGCAGAGCTAACATAGTATCATACGTGGTGTTTTACTGTGAAATTTTAAGATGCAATGCATATTTCCTTTAAATGTTTAAACACATTTCCTTAAGACTTGCATGACATTTAAATCATATTGCTATTTTGGATACTCTTAAATGTACTTATTGAAATATTGTTTAGGCTATTTATATATTGAACTGTAAAATATTTACGTCCCCTGTCTTTTGTGTTCTTTGTGCGCGTTTAGCTGGTGGAAAATCCAGTTTAAAGTAATCAGTTTAAAGTTTTACCAGAAAGTCTTACATGGATTTTTGGACAGCGAACTCACCAGTATATTTATTTATGTTTATCGAAGCCCGTTAAAACTTTAAGAGTTTCTAACGAAGATAAAGGGGCCTGATCAAATAAAAAACTGTCCCTCTTGAAATCAGAATCAGAAACATTTTGCTGGAATTTAGTTTGAAACCTCAGCTGGAATTTCCTCCAGGTCTTGGGTTCCTCCTACTGGTATATTTTAGAAATTCCAGGTCCGCGTCACGTAAGTTAATTTAAGTAAAAATATATCTTTTCTGGTGTTTGAAAATATTTTCATATCGCCACTGAAATAACAAAGTATGTAGTAATTTTTTAACACTAACTCATAAGTACATTTTCAGCTATTGATTGTTAGTCAAAATGCAATTGCTGTGCACTAGTTTGTAAGTGGAATTTGTTACTTCTGTATTTAGGTACAGTTAACAGCATCCAGATGCAGATCTTTAATCTAACTTCGTTAACCAAATCAGAGGACATCATATCTGCCACGTTACACTACTTCATTGGTGGTTTGCAGAATAGCTCCTCCAGATGTACAAGGTCCCAAAGTTGCAGTCAACGCAGTTCTAAGCAAACCCACATTCAGCTGGGGATCTGGAGTTGTGCTTCTTTGGATAATGACACCAGGACTCTGGGCCATGTTCGTATCAGGGTCCCCGCAGCCCACAGAGACGTGACGTCCTGGCAATGGAAAGATATAACTTCCTTTACGAAGAAGGCGAAACATCACAACGAACTCCTCATTGGCATCAAAGTCCCATCAGATGGACACAAGCTGTGGAATGAGCTTCTGCTCGGCCCTCCCCCTTACATCCTGGTGTATGCCAATGACTCCGACATCTCTGGTCCAGAAAATGTGGTGTCCACCTTGCAGGGGGGGCACAAAGACCCCGTGCGCCCAGGCCTTCACCAGCTAGGAGTACACCTGAGTGCCAGCACAATGCCACATCGGTCCAGGCGCTCCGCCGACACCCTCCTCCCGCTCCAGAACAATGAGCTCCCGGGGAACGAGTATCCATATGAAGTGCCGCGCTGGGATGAGACGGATCCGTACAACCCCATAGACAACAGACCGGCGAAACAGCCCAAAAAGAAGCCCCGAAAGAACCACCGCCACAAGGTGCCATTGCTGCAATTTGACGATCAGACTATACAGCGGGCACACAAGAAGCAATGGAGCGAGCCTCGCAACTGTGCCCGCCGGTACCTGAAGGTGGACTTCGCTGACATAGGGTGGAGTGAGTGGATTATCTCCCCGAAATCCTTTGACGCTTACTACTGCTCAGGATCTTGCCAGTTTCCGATGCCAAAGGTAAGTTCATTCCTGGTTTATGCTCAAAAATTAATCTAATAAGAAAATTAATGGAAATGAGTGGATTAGAAAAGTACTGCTTCACTCAGTGACCTGGGAGGTCATATGTAGCCTGAGTTCGTCCCATTTGCTATACTGATTTCATTTATAGACACTCCTGAAAACAGAAAGATAGACATGAATGTCACCTCTATCATATATCTGGATATTTCAAGGGAAATTATTCAAGTGTAAGTGTACTTATACTTGAATTATGCTTAACTAGGTTAATGGTCAAATTCAATTTTGTTTACCTGGTGTCAGATCTGGACATCTCTCTCAATCAATTTGTTAGGCAGGAAAAATAATGAAAAGTAACTTTTTATGTTGACGTTTTGTGAATTATGCAAGCTGTTCTGAAGGAGGAAAGCTTGTACAAAATAGTAAGCAATCGTACACTGTTTATTTTAATAATTGCAAGAAAACATCATGTTTTACTGTGAATTTCTTATGTTATTTAGGACACTTGGTTTTGACTACTAAATGTAAAACATAAGCTGTGCCAAGTGATTAATGTCTTACAGGATATAGTTTCAATTTAAAAAATGACAGTATTGCTAAGAAGACATTCCTCTGAACGTTCTGTGCCAGAACCTTGTCTAATGTATTTATGTGAGTCTCCAGCGAGAGAATCATTGTTGCTACATGGTCATTCTGGAGAGTGTAACAATAACAGCTACATTGCTGAGCTGCCAGTCTAATACTATTAATAGCTGTGGAAAAAAATATATTTTGAATTTTTATCATTTTATATTGTCTGTGTTTCTTTAAAAATAATCATACTCACATTATTTATAAATATCTGTTCTTGTATTCGAAGCTATTGGCTAGCTGTTGGGTATCTTATAGTCTTCTGTTTATTAGTGTTAATAATTTATGAAAGGCTGTGTAATTTTTCTAAAGTATCACAAAATAATGAATATAAATTGAATTATTCTGTGCATTTCACACACATTCTCAAGCCAGCTGAAACGCAGCAAATTTTTTACATCCACCTCGCATAGAATCAAGGTGTAGAATAAGTTTTCTTATGCAAAACTTACTCGAGTACATTGATGTACTTTGTACTGTATTACGTTGCAGTGTTTCCCAACCTTTTTCCTGCCAGGGCACACTTTCCATAAGGCAGCGATTTCCAGCCAGTATGCTGAAGCACACTGGTTTGTCGTGGCACACCAAAAACACTGCATTATTGAGCGCTGGTATCTCCTGTGGATCTCCAGTGCTAGTAGCAATAAACTGACAAAAGAAGAATTTGAAGATAAAGAAGCTGATCGTCTGTGGTTGCAGTTTAACTCTGAGAGTTCTCAGTATTATACAGGTGCCAGCACAATTTTTCTGAGTGAACACTTTAACAACAAAGAAGAAATAAAATGGATCCAAACTAGCTATTGGCTTGGAAGTTTGAGATTTATGATGACAGGGCAGTAGGACGCACAGTAGATATGGCGCTGGGTTTGTGAAGCTGGCCAGTTAAAATTTCAGAAGGTTCTTGGTATGCTATACCATTGAGCTGCAAACTGGAGTTGAATTACTGGAGTAAACACATATTTGGCTGTTGAGTCAGTTGTAACGAATGCAAGTGCCTGCTTATCAGCTGATTGATAGTCAAGTAAATACAGCTTAGGGTGTTGTGGGTCTTTGGACGCAGAGTCATTGAGAGGCACCATCGTCATTGTAGCAGGTTGATCACAGAACTGTTTGCTTATAGAGCTATCTGACTCTCTCTCTCTCTCTCTCTCTCTCTCTATCTCTCTCTCTCTCTCTGTTCAGTCCCTGAAGCCCTCCAACCACGCTACCATCCAGAGCATTGTGCGGGCGGTGGGCGTGGTACCCGGCATTCCGGAACCCTGCTGTGTGCCCGAAAGGATGTCGCCTCTCAGCATCCTCTTCTTCGACCAGGACAAGAATGTAGTGCTCAAAGTTTACCCCAATATGACCGTGGACTCATGCGTCTGCAGATGATGTCGAAATTGCATTTTGCACTGAAAGAGAAACTAAACCCTGATATATAGCTAATTAATAATTGGTTCCCGCATCATTTAACAAATTTTTGAAGACTTTATCTTTCTGTTGTGGAAGCTTGAAAGAAACATAACCTAAAATAATATATTTTTGTAAGATATGTAATCTCTTTTCTGCCCCTACCGAAGGAGGTTTTGCTTTAATATGCCTCAGAAATAAAACTTAAATTTCTAACTTTATGACAAAACACTGTCTATCTTTGTAGCACAGGAGGATGAACATCCATTGGATAATTTCCCTTTTCAACCAAGAGGTCAAAGACTGAATCATTTGCAGCAAAGGACTTATTTGATTTATGTACATTCAGGATTGCAGCTCATGCAATAGAATTCTACAGTCTCGTATAACAGCTGAGTAAAAAAATGACATGCTTTATACCAAAGTATAAAGTATACAATGCGTTGAACTGTGGGTTTATTCTGTATTTTTATGTTATGATTATGCTGCATAATTGTCCTGAAAGAGAACAGTCTACCCTGTATTTTCCCAACCCCAGTACTACATTTTTTGACCTAATGTACATCTCTGTGCTCACCATACATCAGTGCATTTTTAAAATATAATTTGAAGGTTCAGCATATATTAAAATTTCATATGATCACTGTATCGAGATACCTATTATATATGGATTCCAAAGTCAAAATATTTAAAGTGCCTTTTGGAAAATCACTACTATTTGATAAAGGATTATTGCTGTTTGCAGTTAACATTCTCAAATATACAGATATTAGCCAATCACATATCAGCAATTATTAAATGAAGTAACACAGTACCATGCTTTTACACAACTATATATACAGAATTATATCTATGAATGCTTTGAAGCTCATATTCAAAAAGTGGTCAGACACACTTTCATGCATTAATAAGGTCATTCTTTTGTGCTTACAAAAGGTGTACAGGCATCAGAGTTTTCCATGTTCTCCAATTTTCTGTCTCTGTACTGTACATTGAAATCCAGATGCAAGTAACTTTAAAGATAACAGATTATTGGATTCATTAGCCATAAGTGTCTTCATCTGATCGTTAGCCTGAACTTAACTTTTATGCTGCTTTTTACAGAAAAATTTTCAGCTTTCAAATTGAAGGCAAAAGTTTATCTTCTTTCAGTTTAGATACTAAGAATTTTCTACTAAGGGTAACTTTAAATTAATATTTGTAATTGTACTAGGGCTTAACTCATGTAAAAAGGGATTTTTATTTTCATCTCTATCATCTAGGGAGCTATGCTAAAACTGAGCAAAGATTTCAACACAGATTATTATTGTATGAAATATTAATCAGTATTTTTTTCTTTTATACATATATAGTTTATTTAATACATAATTAATAGAATTAATTAGAACAATGGATTTTGATAAGCATCTTGATGCATTTGGCTGGGCTGTAGAAGACGTTTTGTTGCGTTGTCTCATTACTTGCAATAAATGCTTTAGACGCATTTTATTTTTATTCACATTGAGTCTTTTGAAAACAACATTTGAGTTGAAGCTGGACTTGGGCTTGCTTTGCGAATCAACAACCTGAACTTCACAGCTACAACGTCTCAAACTGCTGTCGGTGTTTGAATGACCACGTCTTAGAAGCGCTCACACCCGTTGATATCTGCCTGTGAGGTAGGGCACACATGCTGTCAACATGTACAATTCTGTTTCACGCAGCTGCAAAATGACATCATGTGTCCGTTGGCATGGTTGCTCTAGCTACCTGATCAATCTTACCTGTAAACATACCAACTTGCTATAGTGCTTTTTTCTGTAAGTGGCGAGTAATTATATTGTAGCTCGTACTACATTTACAAACATACACTCTGCATAAATATCGTGTATGGTAAATGTTGTACCTAAATACTATGATGCCTAGAAATGCTTATATCTGTCAATCAAATTCAGTTATTTTTCCGTTTTTTTTAGCAAAATCAATCTCTCAGTTCTATAGTAGTTTCAAAGTGCAAAGAGATCTTCATAACACAAATCTTGCCTTGTTAAAATCTCAATGACTGTTTACTATGAGCAAAATTTAGGTGGAAAAGGGAGGTAGTTTAGTGCATGTCACTGGTGTTAAGAGATATAATGGAACACTTATGTGATACTAAAAGCAGTTCAGCTTATTGTTTAAACCATTTAAAATGAAGCATGGGATCATTCTAAATGCAAATCCATTTTCAGAATGTTGCTATTTTCATAGAATGCTGCCAGTAGAGAATTTACCTGCGCATTTAATACAAAGTTTAACTTTTGTGAGTGTTCTTTTGTGGGGATGTATCTGAACGATGAAGTCTCATATGAGCAATCAGAGCTTCATCTCAGAAAAATGTATTGATTTAAATGTACAGCGATTCACTTTTCTTAGGTTTCCAAGAAAACTATTGCTACTCTCAGTGCTTTAAATAAATTTAGATTGTAACTGCGTTGTAATGAATTGTATGGGTGCTATACTGTACCAATATGAGACATTTTTAGTATCTGTAGTAATTGTGTTAATGGAAAAGTTCTTATATAATTAATATTTTGTATTGCTATTTTTTTCTTCCATGCATGGAAATGAACATCACTTTTGTTTGCTTTGACAACCACTGCAGTATGTCAGAGAATGCTATGAACGGAGCTTCCCCATACCACTCTGTAAAGTCTGTAAATATATAGCATTAAGAGAAAATGGTATTCTTGCACAATAAGCTTAATGACATTATATTTGTATATGGAATTTAATGTTTAATGATGTTTTATTTATATTCTGTGTATTGTTTAAATTTTTTTCTCTGATGAGCGGCTATTTTTGAGACGTGGTTGCTGATTGGCAGGGAGTGTGGAAGAAAGGGTGGGGACGATGCGGAGAGGAACACATCACATGACCTGTCAAGCTGTGAATGGCACTCATTACTACTGATGTATACACTCGCCTCTATGTGAGGACTCCCCTGTTTGAGAACAAACCTTTCTTATGAACCATTCAAGCAAACAATAAAGCTACATATGCCACCTTTTACCAAATAAAATGTTGTGGAAATTTGTTTAGTCCTAAATGCGCTGGAAGCTAATGATGGACTTAGTTGCTTTAAATGTATTTGCATATATGTCTCGTCAGCATCATTTATAGGGCTTAAGAAGGAAACACCTCATCTGTACAAATCATGCATCCATTCAACCATCAATACATTTCCCATAACTGCTTAACCAAGGTAAATATACTAAATATGACCAAATTAAAGTCAATTCAAGACAGTAACATCATCACCAATAGATGTGTGACATCAATATACGTGAGAAGCAAAAACAAATCAGGAACAGGTTTCAGAGACAAGTGAAGTATGTCACTGTGTACACAACAAACTGGGTCCTTTATGTTAATACAGAGATTTTCATTCCAAAATAGCTGTTATTGGGTTTGTCTCCAGCCTTTACTATTTCATGAAATAATCTCGTTATACCTACAACCATGACCAGGGTAAGTAATTGGAAGATGGATAGATGCATACATGGATTTAGTTGTATTATTTGTTGCATCACCAGAAAAAGATTTTGATGCATAGAATTTACAGGTAAGGACCTTGAATTGTTTTATATATGCACTGCACATAATCTTTCTTCTGAAAGGCAAAAATACAATGTAAATCTTTGCCTGAATTTTTACGGATTTAGCTTTCAAATAATTCTCAAAGTATTTTATTATTGTCCACTCTCCCTAATATGTCCCGGGAACATATTTTTCAGAACAGCCCTCCATGCAGAATTCCTTTCTACGTTCTGTTTAATGATTGAACTCGAAGGTATCCGGACTATTCTGTTGAAACATCTGGGCTATGATTGGGTTACAAATTCCATCTCTCCCCCAGGGAGGTATTTATTTGATGACAGAAATCTCCAAACAGAAATCAGCATTTATGAAGTTTGTTTAAAGTACAATCCTGAATTGAAAAGGAGCAAGTATGAGATCATTTCTGAACTGTTTCCCTAGGTTGATGTGTGGGGGCAGGAATGTTTTGGTCCCTGTGATTTGATTGCCTTGTAGCGTTCTCTGAAGGGTAAGGCTTAAAGGTGTGGGAGTTCTGGAAAATACTTAGTTTCAGTTGTAACGTAAATTATTTTCTAAATGATCCAGTTAAGATTTGTTTAACATTACCTGGCCCCTTAAAATAAAAGGGGAAATTAAATACTAATGTATATAATTTCATGTGAAAATGCACAACTAAAATCAAAAGATAATGCATTATTACAAGTACAAAAATTAGTACAAAAATCTCACACTTTGGTTAAGGTGTTTATGAACTTTAACCATTCATGCATACAGCATAACTCGTTGAACTCTAATAGGCTAATGAAGTAAAGTTTATGAGAAAAAAGGTCAATAGTGAAGTAAAATAAAGAAATACGAGCCTATGTACCCTGTGGGTCCCACAAAAAACAGATACACTGACACACAGCTGGACAGGATGAGCATATGTAGACAGGTTTATTGCTTGGGTTGAGAACAAATAATGGTTCTCAAACAGCAGATTTATCAGGTTTGCATAGGTGCAGCAGGACAAAGGTGAATAGATGTCAGTTCAGGTCTCTATAGTCAGTGTATGTTTTCATTTCAGGCCAGGGCCATAATGGAACCGATATAATACTTGTGTGCTTACCAAGGAATTCGTTCTGTGTCACACAATGTTCTGGCATTGCATTGCAGTGATGGATCAGGTACTAAGGTCAGGTTGCCACTCAGCGGGGGGTTAGTGGAACACACCACTCTGACATTGGAGTAGTTACCACGTTCCTGAAAGACGTGTTTACACCTCAAGAAAAATACGTGCTTAAGACGTGAGCTCCTTTCATGGTTGCATCATCTTTTATTTTCTCCAAGGCGTACAGGCAAGGATCTGAAAGGAGAAATTGTTCCATACTGGAAGGTAACCAAGTCTGAAATATTGTTTTTATGTAATCATTTTAAAATGGCTATTAATTCAGTGAAGCGAATATGTCGTGTGAAGGCGGCCGTGTGCTGCAGTGATGTACGTATTTAAAAGTCCGATTGTCCTAGATCTTCCACTGGCTTCTGCACGTCAGGTGCTTGCTGACAGCTACATAAAAAGAAAAAAATATTGCTTTGTTTTTGTTCTGTCTCTTACTAATCTTGCTTTCCACTGACAGTTTCATATTGGACGCAACCCCTTAAATGTGTTTCCTTAGTGATGAGGTCACACACAAGCAAACAAGTGAGTAAGAAAAAGGAGGGTCACTCAGTGGGTAGCACTGTTGCCTCATACTTCCAGGGCTGGGGGGTTTAAATGCTAACGCCGCTGTGTGTGCGGAGTTCACATTTCCTCCCTGTGTCATGCTGGTTTCCGCTTGCAGCCCCATTATGGGGGAGATCCCCAGCTTGGGCTCCCTGGGACAGACTTCAGGTCCCCTGCGACCTTAACCATGACAAGTGCTTGGAAGATGGATGGAGAAATAAAGCATGTTTGGATGAACTGGTGTGTGAGGGTCATGAGGAACTATCAGAAAATTGGCCTATCGAAATTTACAGAGAGCAACATGTAAAGGAATGACACAAAGCCCCATTCTATATTTCCAGTGCATTTATCCAGTCAATTACCACGTTATCCAGTCCAGATCAAGACGATCATGAGTTTACCGTGAAGCAGACACAGAACCATTTACACATTAAGAGCAGTTTAATGTCAAAAGTTCACCTAAATCCCACATACTTAGACTGTGAAAAGAAGCTGGATTTCCCACAGGAAACAGCAACCCAGGGCCAAACAGAAGGTAACACATAATGCTCCCTTTTGCCACGTATAAGTGGTGTTATAACTTGTTTATAATTGTCTATAAATGATTTACAAAGTGACACAACCTAATTAATAACCTGATTAATAAACCATGCATAAACCCTTTATAAGGGTAGTCTTATTGTGAAGTGGTACCCATTAGAGCAGTTATACCTGTCAGACAATCTTTCCAGAACAAATCACAAGAAAATGTAGCTATGATAAATTAAAGTACATATTAATACCAGCGATTAAACCAAGTCCTTAGCAGATATGGTTTTAAAATCGAGCAGGGCAACAAGAAGAGAGATAACAAAAACCTGCTTGTGTTTTCAAATGTTAATTAAATGAACTAAATGTGTAAAAATATTAGTAAAAAACATATATTAAATATTAGGTAACACTTTACTTAACGGGGCACAAATATAGTATTACTCTTTATGACTGATGTATTAATTTACCACAAACTAACAAGTCTTATTTAAATACTGGTCTCATGTTAATTCATCATTGATGAATTTTAACGCATGTTTTGTCTCAAGCAGTTACTATATTTGTTACTATATCTGTTAATTCTGTAAACATTTGTGAACTACTGAAGGAACAAATATGTGAATAACAAAAATGAAATACTGATCTCATGTTTATTCATCATTAATGAATCGTGACGTATATTAAAGTTGCGACTATATTCGTTCATGATTTGTACTTCAGTAGTAACTTAGTTTATACTAAGTATTTGTGCCCCGTCAGGCAAAGTACTACCAAATATTCTACTAACTCCGGGATCGTAATTGCAAAATGTATAGATATAGTCTAATATACAAAGCTTACGGGGTGGTAGTTAGTACTCCTGCCTCACACCTTTGGGGCTCCGTGCATGGGGTTTCTACAGGTATGTTTCCTCCGGGAACTACGGTTTCCAATACAGTCCGAAAACATGCCGAAGTACATCGAAGTTACGAAAGCGCCCGTAAGTGTGCATCTGTGCGCGAATGGCGTGAGTGCGCCCTGCCAGGGATCGGCGCCCATCTTGCGCCCATAGGCTCCAGACCCCCAGAGTCCCTGTGTAGGATAATAAGCGGTTAGAGAAAATGGATACAGTGCTCACATAAAGCCTTGGGACGCTATGTAATGTAATGTCAATTTTATTTCTAAAGCACGTTTAAACAACCCAAGTTTTCCAAAGTGCTGTAGAAAATTAGCACAAACATAACATAAATAAACCAACCCTATAAATAGTCACAATACAATACAACCAATGAGGACTAAAATAATAAAATAAAAACTGTCAACAATCAGAACTAAAAGGCAATCTATAAAAATAGGTTTTTAATTAAAAAGAGAGACTGAAGGGATCGCGTAATTCAGTCAAAATGTTGAAAATTTGTTTATTTTATAACAAAAATCATTACTTCATTTGTTTACACACACACACATGTGCACACACACACACACACACATAAACATCTGTGCCCCAAATGAGCTAATTTTAATCTTTTGATGTGACTTCCAGAAGTTTCATAATAATCAGATCTAATATTTTACGTTATATGTTAAAAATTGCTTGTCAATAGACTTTTCTTATTAAGCCAATACATTTTCACATTATTACAAAACTAAGTAACCGTCCCAAGACTTTCTATGAGGACTGTATACGATCTGAACAGTGAAGGATTTTCTGTGGTTTGTACGGATGGATCAGTGTTGTTCAAGGATTTCCTCCCATAGTCCAAAGACACGCGGTGAAGCTAATTGCTGTCTCTAAATAGTCCACAGAATATAAATGTGTGTATGTGTGTGTGTAACACACCCATCTATGTACCTGGGATAAGGACAAGGTAGCACAGAGTAAAAAGCTGGATGGATGGATTCAATTCAATTCAAATTACTTTATTTATCCCCAAGGGGCAATTAAAAGGCACGTGGAGTAGCACAGCAACCAATCACACATAACAATAAATATAGAATAAAAGGACATGCACACATAAAAGACATTAATGTTATATGTTCTAATAAAGTTCCATTAGTTTGATGCCAAATCACCAATGTTGAGAACTGAGGAGCTGGACAGCTCAGGGAACAAAGGTGTCCTGCAACCTGGACAGCGAAGCCTGGGAGGATCAAGGATTTTGTTGAATGTAGAATTATTATATTCCAAAGTCGCCAGCAGATGGCGGCAAATCATCGTATCACAGAACCTCAACTTCCATTTCATATGAAGCTCCCATCCATTATGTTTAACCAAGATGTAGAATTTTAATGTTCCCATTGCACAAAATGAAGTGAAAGTTTATATTGTGTTTTGCGCATTTAATTATATGTATTAGTGAGGTCATTGATTTTTTTTAAAAGCCACGTCTATGTGTTTGTATATCGAACTGTATCATCAGTCAGGGCTAAGGGGAGCACAGAGGTCTGGAGCCCATTGTCCCCTCACCTAAAAGTTCCTCATGTCCCTCCTGGAAATCTTCAGCTAATCAAAATGTTTCCCCTTATTTCATTTTGGAAGTGCCAGTTCAGTCTTGCACGACTCTATACTCTATGTTAAAATATATAGCTAGCATATTTAATTGATAATCATATAACAATATAATTACTTAAGGTCCTGCCGTGTAACCAAAATCTCTGAATGACATATTACCTGGGGAAATGTATAGAATCAACATAAAGTAAATAACAAACTGAAGTAATAGAACTAGCCAAATAGTAATATTGTTTTAACTAGATTCAATTCTTTAAAACTGAATACCAAAATACCGAATGTATATTCCTGTTTTAAATAACACTTCATGTGTACCTCCTATGAATGTATTTTGGTGGTTTCATTTTTGAATTTAAAAGGTGAATTCCATTTTTAGTTTGAATTGCATTGAACATTGCATCATTCACATCAATTGAAAAAGGAAAGGACACTTGGGCAGATTCTAAAACATTTTATTAATGGTCTTCAGTGTTTTTTTTAAATGTACTAAATTTCCCATTATAAAGAAATCACTGAAATGGGATAATGTAAACATATAAATTATTTACACAGGATACCAACACGTAATTGGTTTTGTATTTGACAAAGGACATGAGCCAGTGCATATCACTCTAAGTACCCTGAAAATTGTCACTTACTGCCAATTTTAAAAACACATTTAATAAGATCTTTGCAACACATAACTACGGAAAGTGAAGCCTGACAAATCACCTAATACAAATTAAATAGAAGCAAAACACAAAAACCTGTAAATATCTAGTCTTGCACATAAATAAACAAAAAAAGCAATGAAAATTATTAAAAACAAGAGAGTTCCACCCTATTAATAGAAATCAGTCAGGGTGAAGAGACTAGAAAATACTGAACCACATCTTCTATATTCAAAATTTATGCATACAAAATTCTGCTCTGCTAATTCACTGTAAACTCTCGCTGCCACCTGACCAGGATTATATGGCCACTTGTGCTATTCTGGTAATCTGTGGGAGGGAGAGGGGGCAGGTAGACTGTGGGAAAGAGAAAAGCCTCTTCTTCAAAAGTGGATAATCTCAAGTGCTTGAAGCCAACTGTGCTCCAATGAGATTCTTCTCTCTACAGGCAAGAGCCTGAATAATAGTGAACATTAGGTATATGGATCTTAGGCAAAAATGCATCCAGTTCCTGGATTTTGTGATACATTCCGCATAAATACTGGTGAAATGAGGTCAAGTAGCGTCGGAAAAGTGGTGACATAATTCTAGCTATAAGGAGTTTACATGGTTTCACAAAGAACAACAATAAACTGTTAAATGTACTCAGTGCATTTAACGTACGTTCAAAACTTCACCCAAAAAAAAAGCACATTGGGTTAGATAACACTGTACTCATTTTTACAAATAGAAAAAAGTATATAACAAAACTAACCGTTAGCTTAATTAATATTTCAGGTCTTAACAATACACAGTACTGTATACACAGTACACACAACGCTGTAATCTAGAGTAAGCCAACCAGCAGCAAACTCGAACTTCTTCAAAGATGTATTTCAAAAACTTGGAAGCCTGTAGCTGTTAGCCATGCATGAAAGAGCATCCCTTACATGTCGTTTAATGGACATTTGTTAATCATTTCATTAATACATTTTTAAAAAAAAAATGTCCTGAAATCTTCAGTCTGAGCAGCATACAAATCCTGACAGTCTTTAATGTTACTGTTGAGTACTTTAGTCCTTCTTGATACGGTCAAAGGACAGCCAGGCTCTGCAATTTAGGATATTTCACACTGTTCTGGTGTAACAGGACATTATAAAAGTTCTCTTTCAGCATTTATACTCTACCTAGTAGAGCAGACCTGCAAAAAAGGAACAAACTGTTAAAGGGAATGCAGATTCAACATACATTTAAATGCACGTTATAGGCTACAGGCTTTGCAACATCATTATCACACCATAACTGATTAATTTATATCTAATTTGGGAAAATAAATAATTACATATTCTAAAACTGAACATGCACTTCTGGTGCATTTTATGTCAGTTAAGGGGCATACAATTTGGAAAAATAAGTAAATACTAAGCAAATATCTTTTTTGAGAAATAATCACGCGACTTAACCATTGCAATTAACCTATGCAGCAAAATAAAGGCATTGTTTAATATAAATATGAAAATTTTATAATATGTAGAGGGTAACTAGCATTCAAATAAATTCTATACATTAACTTAAGGATTAATTTTACATTGTTGATACAACACAGAGGTAGGCCAACAAGCAAATGATTGATTACGCTGCTCTAAATAGCAGCAGCAAAGGGACACTTTTGTAAATTTTGCCAATATACAGTGCCATCTGCATAAATAAAGCTTACTGATTAAATATGGAGGGTTATGTGCTAACTGATGAATGGGTTTGACCCTGATACACACCTAAGAGACTTCCAGCTGTCCTTCTCCATGTTGTTCTCTGGTCCCTCGCTCTCATAGGAGGCCAGAAACAAGGCTGCGGAAAGGGGGGGGTGGGCATAAGTGTCACTATGGCATCCATCGACCATAACACGTTAGCTCCTTCCAGATTATATCAACTTGAAAAGGTGGATGTTCTAGTACAGGACAACACTGCTCTTTTACAGGGGCTGCGTATAGCACACCTTTCACAGGGGAAAAATCATTGGCGAGATTATATTATATTATATATATATATATATATATATATATATATAAAAACAAATAGTTCAAGATTGAGATCCAAAAATGAATGTAGGTATACTATGTTTTGAAAACATTACTATAATTGAGTAAATGGCAGCATATATTCCAGTGATAAATACTATGTGCAATTAATCACTGAACAAAATTCCCATTAGCAAATGACTAGCCCAGTTTTTGAGTGGGAAAACAAAGTGTCTTGATACATTTTTTGGTTGCTCATTTGCATTATGATGCAAATAGTGAAAGCTGCAAAGGCGGCAGGCATGGGAAAAGGAGGTCAGGATAAAGGGCAGCTACATCCGACAGCTAAGGGGCACATGTTAGACTCAAATCCACGGATCCTACATTAGTGGGGCGATTTTAACCATTTACCCTTGACCAGTATGACGGTACATACCATCCTCACTGAAGACCGGTGCAGTCAGCAGGTACTGGAGGATTTTGCGATCCCGCTCGAAAGGACACTCCACCTGCTTCCACGTCATAAACTCATTCACCTGCTTGGCTAATTCCCAGAATTTCTGAAATGTCAGCAGATTTGGAAAGATTTAGAAACACTGGTGAAATCTGCAATCTGAATGTCACACTTTACTGCAGTGTATTAGTCATTGGCTGCAAGTTCAAATGGAAAATATTTAAGGAAAATTTGTTCCTTTGAATGACCTGCTCATTTGAAGTGTGTGATTCAATACAGGCATATTATAAATGTATTTTTATAGTAATTACCTCAAAGTTAACATGCCCATTGGGCAGCAGGTTGGAACATCCTTCATTTAGGAAGTAGATATCCTTAATTAGCAGGCTGAAGAAGGGAATCACAATCTACAAAGAAGACAGAGGCAGAAATCTTCATTATAAATTGTATTTAAGAGAAACATATACAAGCTTGATGATATTATAGCAGTAGTGACACTGGAGACTAACAATGCATAACTCAGTAAAAAGTGGCCGTTGGTTTGCAATAATGACCTTCAATGTGTTAAATGACAATTCGATTCAGGAAAAACAACTTGCACGGATCGATCATTAGTTGTATGTCATAAAGGTGCGTGAACCGGGTGGTGCACGAGGATTGGCTGCTGAAGCTCAACCACATGACAGAAGATGTGGGCCTGTAGCCCTAACACTGGATAAAGGGGAACATTTTTAGTGAAGTTACAAAACCTATCAACAGCTCAAAAAGACTGCATTCTTACTGTGCAAGAACCTTCACTCCTCATACATGTACAATGGAAAAAAAAGCTCTTTGATATGCAACTTTACATGGTGTTAAACTAGTACCTGGAGCTGATCCCTAATTGGCCAACTTTGGTCTTTATTATACAGGTTTTTAGATTCAAATGCTACAAGAAGGGCATTCTCTTTCTTTGCTACTTAAGCTGGCCAAGTGATAGTAGGGAGAAAGTATAGCATTTAACTTAGGTAGTATAAAAGGGGGCTCAAATCTTTGCTTTAGTAGAGAAACAACCATTGGGAGCAAAACAGTTTAATCAAATAAACTGAAATGTCATTTTTTAAGCCTTACAATACTCCCACAAAGTCTATTACAATAGACAATGTATTTATTGTGCTGAGAAACAGATGCCTGCATGATCTTAGCAGAAACAGAACATTTCAGCTAGCCTAGGGATACTCTCTCATGACTAGAATGCAGTTCGGAATTCAGTGGTGGTGATTTTCTTAAATAACGCTGATATTTTAATGACCTGTATTGCATAACACTGTTAATGTCAGGCCAATTTCCATGGGAGAACAACATATCTAAAACAGGAAATGGCTTTTTATACACCAGTCCCCCTTTGTTGACCCGTGAATGTCCTAACCTCTGTTTAAAAACAGTTATGCAACGAAAATACCACTATTTAGTTTGGAGCCTTTAGCATAGTGTGGCTTTTTGTCTTGATCTTACACATTTCACTGTCAGAAAAAATATATACATTTTCTTGGAAGTTGCTATGGTACACAGCACACTGACGTCAAAGAAGTGCCAGAAGTTGCTGGTTTTCCCCCATAATTAATCTGCTTTTATCATTTCAAATTACATGTGTGTGTGTGTGTGTGTGTGTGTGTGTGTGTGTGTGTGTGTGTGTGTGTGTGAGTGTGTGAGAGAGAGAGAGAGAAAGAGAGAGAGAGTCATTTTCCACACAATTTCAAATAATGAATGGCAAAATGGAGATACACGATCCTAAAAAGGAAAATAAATCAGAACTCTCAAGCTTGTTTTTGAAAACTATGCTTACCGTCACAGAAACTAAAATGTTGCACAACAAGCTTGTTGGTCTACACAAGGAGGCTTGTGAGATGCTTGCGGATGCTTGGCACAAACAATGGTCCAATCGGAACTAGCTACTGGATTTACCTTTTCTCTGCTGGTATGTGCCGTTATGGACCTCTGCATAGCACCACGCAATGCCGTTCGGTAGTTGTAGAAATTGCTGGTTGGGTCCATTTGGTGCTGCATAACAAATGGAACATCAAGCTTGTGAGGTTTTTGCTTGTGCCATGTATACTGCACCTAAAAACCACCCTGGCCTTAAATCACCCTGCAAGGTACACCACCTAACGTTTTCTGATTTAACAGGATTATTACCGAATTACAATCACGAGTTCCCACTAAAGTACCATATGCTACTACCGGGAGCAGGGAGGGAGCAAACATCTAGACTGTCTGGGGGTGCCCCAAGGACCAGATTGGAAAACACTGCTGTAATCTACTGACTCCCAGTGTTAGAAAATAGGAGTCACCCACCCTGTGCTCCCATCCCTTGCACCATCTGCACAAGCACACAGAGAGGATTTAATGGGCTTCACACAGATTTCATTAGCATAGGAAGTACATCTTCTCCCTGAACCAGCTCCTCCCCTCTAGAGCCCAGTGCCAAGCCACAGTCCAGCAGCCTGGCTCTGCACACGAGAAATTTACATTTCAAAACACCGCCTGTCCTGTGAGGAGCATAACTCTCCAGAGAGCAGAGCAGTGTGGGCTAACTGAAGACAGTGCCGCGATGCCACAACTTATCCATTTCCACCTCTTTGAAAAAATTACAAATATCATCTTCCCACAATCACTTGGACAAATCCGTCTACAGGTGCTTCTGCCTGCTGCGGTCTGTACCTCATAAAAGCATTATTCAGGAATTATTTTCTGCCTTTAAAACACAAACCTTCATCTTTACCAATATATAAAAGAGAGGGTTAGGAAATACATGAAATTGAATCGAGACACACACACACGCACACACAACCTTACAGGAAGACTTACAAAAAGAAAAGAGAAAGAACACAAACTGATAAGTACTCATTTTAATTAGCATAGTTAAAACTTTAATTCTGCTCACATCTATGCAATCTAACCACAGATATATGCTTAGTCATCATCCGTTACAATAAGGCCTGCTGAACAGCGCAACAGTCCTCACCTCTAGGATATCGAATTTGGCCGTTTTGACTTTGGCCCAGGTTTTCTTCAGCCGGGAAACTGGGCTCATGTTCATCCCAGCTGAGGAGAAAGGAGATGAGAGCACATGTCAGCATGTGCAGGACAACAGCTTCCCCTTCCTCTCATCCCAGCCAGCTGCAACCCCTCAAGCTGCCCTTTGTCTGGCATCTCCCAAGACCCCTCCAGTACCCCAGGATGGGACAATGGAACCAGGGCCTGAGTCACATCTTCCCGAAGCAGCATTTAACATATGGTAATAGGATGCAGAAGGAACGGCAGCACAAAACCAGCCCGGTTATCAAAGATGTGACCTCCCAGTCCCTGTGAACTGAGGGAAAGCGCGTCGGGGTGCCGGCAGCTCTCCAACACCTGCACGGCTCATTAAGGCAGGCTTGCTGAAGAATGCCCACGCCCAGCAGTTTCCGATAAGACTTTATTACTATCTATAAAGGAGATCAGATTTTATATTCATGAGTTGCGCTTCTGTCTACTGGAAGATGCCGCTTCAGGTCAGCTTCAGAATTGGCACAGGAAAAAAAGCCATGATCAAATGAATGCTTAGAGTCTCTTCTTTTATGCAAAAACAGATGTGATTCTCAACAGCTTGGTTAAAAAAATAAAGTTATACAATTTCATCAATGCATGCAGAAAACAACAACTTATCAGAAGAGGATTTTTCAGCACCAACAGGTGTTAGGAACAGAAATTAACATCCACTGCAACAGGATGACGTGCGAGTCCTTCATTATGTGTGTATGAAAGCCTGGAGAGGGACATCAGCCATAAGCCTATTGACAGCACACAATGGCTAAGCAGAGTGCTGTAAAACAAACTCAGACAACACCAGCCATTCTCATGACTCGATTGTTCTTTCTGAGGATACTAATTTCTGCTCTGTCTCTCAGGAGAGGAGCCTCTGTACGGCCCTGCCTGTGGTTGTATCCCCAGGGAGGGGTCAGAATAAGGACAGCTGCCCGCCTCTTCTGGCTTCTCCTCCAGGCCTGACTGGCCCTTTCCCTGACCATCTGCCTGCAGGAAGGTCCACCCGGCACATTCCGCCCACCCCCCCCCCCCCGCTCTTTGCTGGCCAGCCAGCTGCCTCTCCCATCATCTCCATGCAGCCCCCTCCACCACCCCCATAAAGGTCCACCATCAAGAACATGCTGAGCCAGAGCTGAAATTACGAGCTGAGAAACATTTACTACGAGTATCCCTGTTCCTATACATCCCATAATCTCTTCATTAGGTTTAATATGCTCTGCTTTAGTTTAACTTAAGTGCATTATTCGAAAGTGAGCAGTTGTGCAGAGCACTTGAAACTCTTTAGATTACTGCAGCTTTTACTCCTTAACAGCTCTAGCTGGAGATCAGAATGCCTATATTATTATTATTATTATTATTATTATTATTACTATTATTATTTTCTGAAAATATGTTGATTTGGATGAGTGGGAAGACCTAGTTACACAACCTCCATAACTCGCTGAAGTCCATAAATCTCCCACAGTAATGACAAAAACAGAACCCCGTCATCACAAACCTGAGACGAACAACACAGGCTCTCAAATTTCACAAGAATGAAGCCCCCACCCTACCCCACCCCACCCCAGCCCCCTCCTCTACGGGACAGCTACCATGGGACATTACAAACTTCAACACACTGCTGTACTCACAAATGATGGCCATCAAGGAGTTGAAGTTGCCGATGTTAAAGCACTCTCGGGCGACATCAATGAAGAACTCAATGACTCTGGCTCTCTGCTTCTTCTTTACCGGCTAGACGGAGGGAGTATCACAAAACATGTCAGATTTAATAAAGGCAGATGACAAAAAAAAAAAAAACTATAAGGCAGAACGAGACAGACAGGAGGCTTACCAAGCATATTTCTGTGGCCACCAGGTAACTGAGCCTGTTAAACCACTCCACGTACACTTCTAGGTTGTTTGCCTTCTTGCGGTCACTGAAACGGCTCTGAAAACAAGGGCATGAGGAAGGTTATTACACAACGGACAACAGAATTACTTTGCTTGCCCTCCTTGGTGCTGCAGATCAGATCGCATAAAATCCCATCCAAAATCCTACCGCTGTTGACAGAGTGGACAGAGACTTTTCACTAGAATTTACTTTGCTTTTCGGGCAATTCCAGCATTATGGATGCGACAACTGAACTCATATTGGCAAACAAAATGCCTCTGAACATGGATAAGCTTAGTATATTCATATAAAAAATTTACATGCTAGAAATGCCAAAGGTAGAAAGTACAAATCCAGACCAAGATTTTGTTTCAAACAACCAGGTCTGTTGTTTGAAACACTGTCATTGTGAATCTTTATACTCAGCTGGTTGGTTGAAACGAAATCTTGGTCTGGATTTTTACTTTCTGATCCTGACCTTCCCAGTGGTGAAAAATGCATAGCATTTTATAAGTGTTAGAGATGTGACATCAAATGGACCTTTGCATGGAATTGCCCTTTAACATTTAAAGTAAGACAAGTTTTTGTCAAGAAAGTTTAAGTTTTTCCTCCTCCGTCCCAGTGTCTATATTCAGGCTGTTTCTCCCACAGTACCCGTCCGCAGGGTTCCACTCCGGAACCGCCGATGGTTTCCCCGCTTAAGGGGGCAGCCGGGGCTCTTCAGGCCCCGGCTTTTTCCCGCCATTGTGAGGCCCCCGCAGTCATACTGCACAGGCATGCTGACAGGTCCAGCAACGTGCAATTACACCCAGAGCTGTGCTCTTAAAAGACGGGGAGTGGGGGGGCTCTGAGCCGGCCATTAATGAAGACTGCAGACGGTGAAAAGTGAAGCGTGTCAAAAGACAATAGCTGTGGCAGCCCGGCAGGCCGAGCGACCGGCAGGCCGAGCGACCGGCATTCAGGGGGAGTGCCAGGGTGCGCGGCTGAGTGGCGGCAAAGCCATCATTAACCAATATGTTATTTGCAATTTTAAGCTTTTAAGTTCTTTGCATAATTTAATTAAAGACTTAGCCACTAAAAACTGCACTTATTACCAAATTCATTCAATTCCCAAAAAAACTTTCACGGTGCAACTTATCCAAAATTAGCGGAGACTCACCCTCACTTTATTCCGTATATGCAAAAAAGGTTCTTTTAAAACACATGCATATTTCAAATTACACATATATTACCTTATTATTAACCAAGGGGTCCTTCTGAACAAAGGCTTGTACAAATTCCTCAGGTCCAATGTAACTGAGTCGCTCCTAAATGGAAAAAAAAATCAAAACATGTTTATGTCACAGAGACATATGGAGCTCATTTCTGCCCCCCAGTAGACTAACCACTTTGTATTGATGGGTCGCTAAACAAGTGTAAAGCGACTTTTGCATGAAATTGCACTTAAGCATCATTTAGCCCCCAGAATAAAGTTCCATGTGTAGCCTAAAGGAAAGCATGTGGGTCACTCACCAGCTCTATGTGGGTTAGCTGCTGGGCCAAACTGAAGGCGTCATTGCAGACGGTCAGGACGTCCCGCTGGATGGACTGCGGCTTCGTTTTCAACACGGTCAGCCTCTCTGCAACTGTGGCGTTGATCTTCACCAGTAGCTCCTCGTACTGGCTGAGCGCGGCCAGCTTGCGGATTAGACCCTGCATCATCTGCTGCACAGCCTTCCTGCAAACCTGCAGGGGGGGGGGGGGCAAAATATTTTACACTCATAGTGCTTCAACCCCACCACAAAAAAATAAATGGCAGTGCAATACCAGGGTGGAGGCAGAGGGTGGAGTGTGGGGAATTCTGAAAGAGATTAGAGTTTCTTTAGGTTTCCTCTTGAGTGATTAATACAGCAGGCACCCTCTATCTGGGGCGGGTCGAGTGATGCCAAAAAACCTGGGGAATTTAATTGTGCCCCATCAATCAGAGGGATAACAGCAAGGATACTGCCAAAGGCAGACAAGTTTTGAAAGAATCTCAATGACAGCCCAACCCCTCCCCCACACGCTGAATTAAAACTTGCGTAATGGGTGGGCAGTAAAAGCTTTATTCAGGATGCATAATGAGATGTTACACCATACCCTAACAGCAGGTTATCATAGGCAGAATCTTAGCAAAAAAAATGTTTTTCTTTTAAAAAAACCAATTATGTGTTCTTGACATTATACTACTTGTCTTTCAAGGCACAGACTATTGGGCCAAACGGAAATCAAAGAAATCCAACTTTCAAAAGATAACCATCTGTTGATGTATTGGGTCCAGTTGCCAACAGAGGGTGTAAATTTAGAAACATATTCCTGGGGATTAGTTGTCAAAATTTCTGGGCCACATGGTGCACAGTTGATACAGAATGCTGACGTGTGCCAATTCTGGCCTACTTGGACAGTTAACCCTGGAGCCAGACTGCATCAGGAGCTAGCAGGACAGCAGGGCTCGCTGCATGACCCCAAGCAGGCTGCCCGGTGAACTCCCCCGCTCAGTGTTTTCCTGGAACTGCACCACCTCATTCTGGTAGAGCAGCTTGAAGCACTTCGGAAGGCCAGCTCTGCGGAAGGGGTGCTGATAGATCGCTCACGACTGTGCGTGTGAACCATGGGGGAGGAGCTCCAGGAGCCGCCCTCGTTTAGGCTCCCCGGTGCCTGCTCCAGTAAGCCGACCACCTCCGTAATGAAAGCCTCTGCAAATTAAGGGCTGTGAAGCTAAGGCTGGTTTGGAAGTCACTGAAAACAGATGCTGATCTATTACAGGCTTCTGCCATCCTGCCCAAAATTTGCGACCCATCAACTCAAAGAGCTGTAGTGGTCAACCCAGACGCTGAATCCAAAAACCAATCCCTTTCAGAAGTTTCAGTGGCCCATCTGGGAGCTAAATTTATAGCGGCACCCAAAACGCGAAACTGGTGCACTTGTGTAAATGCACATCGCCTTTAACAAAACATCAGAAGGAACCATGCTATAATTATTCAATATTGATGATCAAAACTAACGTATCTGTGTAAGCACATATGCCATCAATACAACAGAGAAATTTCAAACAATTCTTGTTTACCATTACAGTAAAGAACTGACTAGATTTGCAAGGAACACCCTTATAAATGTACAACAACAACAGATATGTGTAGGACTCCCATCCTCCAAACACAAGGCTACAGATACAGAAGGACATCTGACAGGCACCAGAAAGCCAGTTTGCAGTGCACCATCTCATCTGAAGCAATGTTGTGCTTTGGGGAGTACATAGAGTTCACAGTGTACGGAAAACAACCAGTGCTAAACATAGACCAGCTGTTCTGTAAACACACACATTTAACATCATTCTGGCTTCTGTCAAAATATGCAGCCAGAGTAAACAGTAAAAAGTATGATTCTCAAAATAGTCTAAATAGCAAAGCAAGGACATCACCACATGATAACCAGCACATTAAATACTTGCGGTTTGTATAACCAGATTTTTGTAAAAATCAGATGAACTCTGAACATTAACAAGCTCCCTCTGCTCACTGGCACTATTGCTCAGTCTATGCACTATTATCCTATACAGTTACTTTTTCCCTGAGAGTTAATACTACACACTCATCCAGCTATAACTGCGACACGTGGCTGAAGTTCGGTTCTGATGATGAAGCAAAGTGCGGCACAGTTAATAAGACCAGACACCAGCGGAGCACACGTGTGCTGAGCCAGCATTAGGCAGACAATCCAAAGGCTGCCTAGAGCTGACAAAAGCTGCCAGAATGGTGCACAATGTGCCTTTTCTGTTTATGCAGTCAGGCTCAACAAACTGCTTCGAGGTTGGAGAAGGGGAAAAATAAATAAATAAGGGATCCACCCTCTTCATTTTCTCCCATCCCCCAATTCCAATTACTGAGGCACGTCTGACTCGCAAGCCATGTGCAGTTTATCATTTTAAACAAATATTGCCCTTTCGGCATTGTGGGAATCCACGAGTCGCCAAGGCTTGTGACAAGTGCCTGCTGGGAATCACAAGAACAACTCCAAAGGCAAACAGGAAATGTTACTGTCCTATAATGTTCTCAACATAAGTGTCAGGCTCATGATGCCCAAAAGAACACAACTAGATCGTCCAATTCCTTGTATATTTCCAGTCTCATAGGTGCTATAGCTGGCCTCATAGATCTCAAACAGATAAGCAAAGGGCTGTAATAATGCTGGAATGAGGTGAAAAGATTCCTCAAAGGCAAGACAAGGAATGTCAACTCCTCTGCTTGCAGCTGGAAGAAAGTAGGATTACTCCTTGCTCCGGCACAACATGGAAACTGACCTCATCTCCGAAGGTTAAGCGGTGGGTCAGCTCCTTCAGCCCTCGCATCATGCGGTCGTCTCTGAAGTCGTAGGGGAAAGTCTCTGTCCACTCAGTCAACAGCTGCACAATCTTGGGCGCGATCTTACGCACTCTGATCTGCAGAACCAAGGAGAACAACCTCAGCATGGTATGTGGTATTTATGGTCAGATTGTCATTAAAGTAAGAATAAGTAATGAGATGCGGCATTGTAACAGACTCGTAGCACAGATTTACAGATAAGCATAATGGTGTTTCCCACTCACCAAAACTTAAAAATGATGGATGCAGATGCTGCAACATACATTCAAAATTACAGCGCAAACAGACTCATGCTAAAGCGAGTGACGGGGGAGCTTCACCTTGTCAGCATGGGGGTCGCCGAGTCTTTGGTGCTCCACAAACATTTGGTACACCTTAGACATGAGCTCATAAGGGTGCAGGAATAACCGGGAGCTCAGCAGGAAAGTGAAGATGTACGTCCTCTGGAAGATGGGAAGGGGACAAATGCACAGCATTTCCTTAACGGTATCTTAAAGATTTCTATGACCATCCATTTCGGAATCTCTTTCAAACTGATAAGGAGTTGAAAGGGTACTCACATCAGGATAGTGGTCCACATTGGGCACTAAATGCTGAATGAGAGCCTCCAGAGATCCCGATACAAGATTGTTGTCATGGTAACGCAGGACCCCACAGCCCTCCTCCTTTGACTGGTAGACATTGTTGTTATAACCAGTGGGGCCAAACATACTGCCAAACGGTGGCGTCTGTGGCATGCTTCCCTGCTTAAAAGAAAAATATATTATACGTGCACAAATGTCAACACTGTGTTTTAAACGGTATTTTAAACAGAACATGACAAACTGGAAGTTAAGCACAACACAGCAAAAAAGTTCTATTACAATCTTAAAATAAGACTACACAATAAATGGTATGTTTTTAGCAAGTTTAACACCACAACAGGTATTCAAAGTTATTGTAACTACTACTTACAATTCTGAATCACCGAATGCGTAATATATCTACTGATTATGAATATCTGATTACTCAAAGGTTCCTAATTCACATGGACATGTACACAAAAGGGCCATTTATATACAAAACATAGGCATGTCTCTCTCTAAAGGCCATGTGACAGAAACAAAGCATGATCCAGAAGCTCACCACTGTGAAAGAGCTGGTTGGCTCCCCAGAACGTAAACAACTTACTCTGGAGATCAAATGCCCATCGGCCGACCATTAATCCCACCTCACTGCCACAAAGACGCACACCCACACCCACCAGAAAGAGGGAGGGAAGGCAGCCCTTTTAATGAGTTACATCAGAGGGCGTGAGCCACTGAGATCCAGTCACCTAGGACGCCTTTCTCTCCCACCCTTTCTGGTTGCTGCATTGAGAATGCCATCTACTAAGCAACCAAAAAAAATCCCCGGACTGGCATTAGCAGTCGCTTTTGGGGGCCACGATGAGGGACAATGGAAACATTCAATGCTCCTGGCTTGGGGTGAAAGAGACCTCAAAACAATTGCCAAATCTTCAGCCACCACGAGTCCATTGAGGAAGCAATTTGGGCGATTACACAAGGACCGTGACAAAAAAAAAATAAAAAATAATAATAATAATAATAATAATAAAAAGGCAGCCGGGGGGTTAAGGTTGCCAGAAGCCATCCAACATCAATCGCAGCCCCTCCCAAATTCAGCACAGCCGTGAAAATTAGCATGAGAAGGAAGGACTGTTGGCATGTCTGAAATCACTTCAGCACCCATCACATCTGTTCCAGCATGCGTGTCCCTATTCCATCAGGACAATGGAATCAATGGCGTAAAAAAAAAAATAGCCATGTCAAAAGGATCCCCTCACAAGTTATCTGGGAAAACTGAAAATATTCATATGAGCATCACAATATAACTATCAGAATAGTATCTAAACAAGATAGAGCACAGTTTAAAGGGCAATATATGTTAGTTGTTCAAAACATCCATCATCAATTTACTGAATTAGAAAAATCTTAAGCCAAGTGCAGCATGATCCTCAGCCTGCTTACGAATTATTGCTGAGCAGTAAATGCCAAAAGAAACCCGGAAAAGCTCCATGGAGGCCAGATTCCCCCTCCCAGGAATTAATGCGATTGTTTGTTTTTGTTTTTTTTTGGGGAGGGGGGGGGGGGTTGTTTGTGTGCCATTTTCCCTAACCATAGACATCAGCTCCAACTTAACTTCATCTGTGGAGTGTGTAAAAGTGGCCCATTTGCAGCTTAAAATGTTGGTTGCAAAGGTCATGCAAGCAGGTGTAGGAGAAAAAAATCACAGAAAAATGGCCAGATAATAAGCCTTTACATCTCCAGCCATTGTGGAACGTGTTTACAGCCAAAAAGAAACATAGGAGTCTCGCACCATAACGTATTCAAGAAAAGTCAATACTTTCCAAATCCTTTAACAGAAATGTTGAAGCGCCAAAAAAAATACAAAACCCCAACTCAAACCTCAATTCACAGACTATTCTCACTATGGAAAACTAGTTTAAGCTTAGTGAACTTTGCTTACACGTGGATATGACTCACTGAGAAAAGCTGAAAAAGTAACCAAATCAAAACTAGTGATACAAGTTCATATTTATGTTACATTTAAATCAAGTTAGGGGGTTAGGGTTTCTTTGCATTTCTATGAAAATATGCTTAATCTGTCTCCCTCCCTTTGTAAACTGATATCCATTACAAACATTCAAAAATATTAAGAGAAATGGTAACATTTATAGACTGTCCCAGATAGTCAGAGATGTTGACAGCCGCCACTGTTGAAAAACTACATAAAAATAGACCCAAACTGACATGACTTTGACTCTGAGAAGTATGACTCATCTGCGCGATGTGAAAAGATCACTGGAAGCACTGTGTATCCTGACTGGCTGCACATCAGCTACAGATGACTAATGTTAGACTCCCAAATAATAATAAACACATGACTGGAAAACAATTCAATCCCCTGGTTCATCACGTATTTAACGTGCAACCAAAACATTGAAAACATAAATCATATTAATAAAGGAGACATAAACAAGGAAGTAATACAAAGAACTTAAAAATCTATATGATTTATTTTAAATCTTAATATTTTGAACCACAACTTACTATGGGAATTAGATTTTCTAGGCCTGGAAGCAGAGAGGTCAAAGTCTCAAGCAAAAAAAGTGGAATATCAGCAAAAATTACAGACTCATCCCAAGCCATCACAGAATAGACTGCTTAGAAACTGAAGAAGCCCGTGAGATAACGTTAATCCCTATGAAAGAAAGCAAGAAACAAACCTGACTACGTCAATAAAATAAACAAAAATTCCAGGAAACTATTGCAACACAGATTAAAACATGGAGACAACCAAACATGATGAGTGAATCTTACTAGATAACATTTCTAATCAAGTTACAATCGTTCTATTAACAATGAACAGACATCATGTGCTGTTTAAAAATATTAAGACTCTTTAAACACAGCATCTAATTTAAACTACTGCAGCAGGTAGAATACATCTAGGAGTGAAACATCGCGCCTCATATAACGTGGTTTTAGGTATAATAACTATCTGTTAATTATCTATATAAATAGCGCCGAAGTTATCTATAGTCGCATTATCATTGGAATCGTAAGGCTCCGTTCCATGTTTTTCGAGACCAGGTGTCAAGCAATAGGGAGATAGTGACCGTCAATATATATCCAAAAGCATGATATGCAAAAAGAATTAGTACATAATGTTTTGCTAAATCTTATTGACATCAAAGTTGTTGAGAAAAAACAACATGCCTGCAGTTTAATTTTTGTCTTTTTTTAAAAAAAAAAAAAGCCAGACGTGAATGACGACGTAAGATGCAGCGTATAGAAACTTACCGTAAAGGAAAAAAAATGTATGTAAAAATCCCTTTAGATGAGACACGGAGTCAAGTGAAGACCACTAGTGAGTACATAGGCAGTATAAATCCCCAATCCTTTCTCGAAAGCACTTTGACAAAATCTTAGAGCAGGGAATCAATCTCCCTGGCTTTTAACAACTAGCGTTCGCACTCAACGGAGCAGCCAAACAACAGCTTTTTGAAAAGTGTAAATCGCCGCAGATTAGCAGCAGTCACACGATGCCCGCCCACCGAATGAACTGAGCGCGCGGCGCGGCGCAGCACCATTCAAACGCAATAACTGGAAGGCCGGGAACGGCCGGCCCCCGCAAGCCCACACGGTGCGCAAGACCGCGGCCCGTCAGCCAATCAGAAACAGGCGACAGGAAACTACGACCCTCCGCGTTTGTCCTTATAGGTCAATAGTGCCGCCCAGTTAATTAACGGGAAATCACGAACCACTGTAGAACGGGTGCGCTGGGCATTAGGAATAGATATGTATTTATACTTGTGTTTTACTATAAATATGTTTTTCTGTTAGGCATTAAATCTGGAATCTTGATGCAGTTTCTGCAAAAAGTTAGCTGCACACAAAAAAGAAGGTGAATTATGGGAATATGGACATTTTTCGTTCAGACGTTGGCAGACAGACTAAGCTTAGGTTATGTTAATTATGTATTGATTTATTATATTAGTTTAAAATATTCAAATGCGACTTGCCATTTTTAGACACAGGAATTTTTGAACTTTTACATAATGTAAAATTCTACAAATATAATTATATTTGAGTAAGGTGACACAGGTAAATGTCTTCATTTTGGACAGCACAGCTGCGGGGTCACAATAAGAGTTACAAGGTGCGTTGCCAAACTACAGCTGTCATGGTCAATAACATTTGCCTTTTTCTGACAAAGGTCGGGCAGTATCTGAAGCAATGAAAGGGTTTTAACAATGAACATATGCAGTATTTGGGAACTCACGTCAACTGAAAAGATTAAAAATTTAAGTATGCTTAACACGCTGTCTAACCAGACACAATATCTGAATGTGGATCCAGTAATAGGGACTATATGAAATTGACTGGGTGTAGCATAAATGCTTAACATGTTTATGCTGATATTTTTAATAAATGGAGACCTTTTAGTACAATTATTGTATTTCTTAGTAAAGTAAGTGTTTATGTATTATTCAAGTCCATGTCTTTTCGTGAAAACCTCAGTAAGACTAAGGTTAAGTTAACTTAATCAGCAATGTCAAAGAAGCCTAATAAATGCAACAAATACTTAAAGTGAAAAGAAGAACTTAATGTTTTATTTTTAAAAATAACACACTACACATCTGAGGGGCAGTCAAAATCAGAATCCTTTGATTGTCACTGAGGAAATTGCTTGACCTTGTGTAGCTACATTAACTCCATAGCAAACCTGTGCTCTTTCATGTGCAGCCTGGGAAACAAGGTTTTATGGCTGCTTCCATTTCTTGGGGGGAAATGGCAATACTTCCCTAAACACACTAATTACACCTAAGTGAACTCCTGTGAATGTCCGTTGCATGCAGGTTGTACACACCTGCAAGACTGCTGAATATATTCAATAAATGAAACAGAATGGGGGTTCATTTTAACCAGAATGGGGGTTACTTTTGACCTTTCAGCAATACACCATTTATTAGGAGTTCTGAACATGATAGGTTTAGCGTTGTTTTATCCCCGATGATTTCAGACAGGAAAAATGATCCTGTCAGTGCTTGGATGAAATAATGTTATGTTTAAATGCTGTGTCCATGTAAACCTACAGCTGAAGTCTAAAATAAATGACAGAAACTACATTTGAAATTTGACCTTATGGGTTTCTGAACCATTTCCACTGAAACCCGCTACATTATACAGACACATTTTACAACAATAGTTCCTGAAAACACTCCCCTGGTGTCCCTTGTTATACAAGAAGGTGCTTATCAACACCCACATTTAACATCAGAAAAGCCTTTCGTGGTGATTTCCTGACTGCTTCAGCTCAGTAACAGTTATGTTCACACCTCCACCTTGAGCCGACAACACAGAGGGGCATCAAGCCGCAGCTGGACATTTCTTACAGCCATTGACACATAGCTTGAACCAACAGTCACCTTTGCACAGCAAACTGCATGTTAAAAAGTAACAAAATGAAGAAAAAAAAACTTACTATTGCTGTTCAATATCTGGCCAGATAAAATACCACTCATAAATATCATGTGTATATGGCCAGGAGCTAAAATGATAGCACAAAATATGAGCGACATGGCAAACACATCACCTAGGAAGCATTCCATCTAAGGGTCAAAGGTAAAACGTCATGCTGAACTGATTCTCATATTCATCTATCAGTGTGGTTTTACTGGTCATATTATGGTCAGAACAAAGCAGCAGGCAGGATATTTAAACTACACGCATCAACAACAGTTCAGGGGTCAGCTGAGTGCTGTAGCACTAAAAACACCATAAACCATTCTACAACCTTTTTAATTTGCAGGTTTTTCTCAAAACCCTATATTTAAAAAAGGCCTGCTACCTCCATTACTAATTAACATTTTCATAAGTCTTATCTGCTTCCCTCATCGATGCAGATGGGGGGGGGGGGGGGAGTCCAGTCACAGCATGTTAAACTCATACTATGGAAGAGCAAGTGATTAAATTTAGCAACATACGGGAAATTGATTTATGTTGCTTTTAGTGCACAGTTTTCATTGTATTACATATTATGACATCTATCATACATATTCTGAGATGCAGTGCCTTGGCGCCTCCAGTGAGTGCATGTTCTTTAAGATGTGAGATCAAGCGGGGAGACTGGGGGTGGGAAACTCTGCAAAAAGGTTTTACTGGGGGGGAGGGGGGATGTGGAACACTGTTTTGTGCCCCAAGGTACAAACTACATTAATATACCCCCAATGGTACATAAATGTCCCTCAGAGTCAGTTTCCTACATTTTGGGTACCATTGGCAGGCCCTTGCAGGTACAGCCCCACAAGTAACTGTATCCTCAAATATATTGAGGATAAGTACCAATTGCATATATTGGTACTTTTTTTCTAGCTATGCGAGAGACAGAGCGCTGAAGGTACTTCAGCTTTCCTTGGGCTGTCCCTTTTCCTTGTATCCATTCCTGTTATTCTGACCATTTTATTTCTAGAAAACACTGTAGGAAAAACAGAGGGTATCTGGTATTACCTTGAGGTCGAGGAAATGTGTAGAAGATTATACTAAAACACTGTCTTTCAATTTATTTTTATAGTCTGGTTTAATAAAGTGGTTTTTCTGCCCTTCTCAGCTTTATTCGTTTATTGTAAAATAAATTTTTATTTTCAAATAATTGCTGGCATTGCAGAACATTTAATCGTTTGACTTAAGGAAACTAAAATCTCTTAAAAGTTAGATCTGGTGTAGACTTTGCTTTACATTCAGCTTTGGAGTACCCAGCACTTTTGTGAAGTTGGTGTAATTAACTGTCAGATACCTTTTTTGGATGTGAAGACATTGCGCGATTTTCCAGTGGCTGCTATTTCCTATGGGCCTGTGTGGACTTTATGGGCCCTTGAATATTCATTGAATTGTAAGACAGAATGCTTCCTCAAACATGTTTGCTTCAGGATAGTAAGCATTCTTTATGCTACAAATCTTTATTGTAACAATCAATGCTTTTCATAAAACATCAAAATCATATGTATTTTAAGTTCCAGTTCACAGATTTTTTTTTAGATTTCGTTTCATTGGATTGTATTTTGTCCGCAACAAAGTGCATTGAAAACAATTTATGAAAATAAAAATGTAAAAAGTTTTGTATCATTACAAAAATGATGTAAAATTATTTATAATACTACAAACATCGCATTTCCACTGATTGCATGTAATAACCTGATTTGTTTAGCTAATTGGAATGTACTTATTTTACTACTTTAGAGGGATATTCGAAGTATTTTAAAGGAGTTTTCTAACGGCTTGTATTCATAATATTTACCCTGAATTTGCTGAGAATATAACCTCATGAACTGTCTAGTCTGTCTAGTCTGGTTCCTCAGCCATGACAGAACGAGGCTGACATGAATTATATACCATTTTCAGGTCAGTAAGCAAAAGAACAGAACTGATGACCATCTTTGTGCACCAGAAGAAGGGTTAGATATTGCTCAGAAGCTGCTGGCCCTGTACATTTCAGATCTTCTGCATTTCTCCATTTTCTCCTTATGTTTGAAGGCTGCTGGCAGCCTAAGCTTGGTAATCTGGTCTTGTGTTGTGACGGCATTATGGCCCCCCACCCTTCATACACCACAGTGAGAGCCTGACTGCCCCACACGATCATCAAACATTCCTTCGGAGATTTATGGCACTATGTGAACTAGGCAAAGCCCATCTGTAGCACTGAGGAAATCATGGCTGTAGCGCCACAGAGAGGACAGAAGCCTTAGACCATTATTCTTGTCTCATCCCACGTCAGACTTTTTGGAGACAATGTTGTGTTTCCAGTACAAATGTTTTCAATTAATGTTTGAATCGAGTCATTTTGTGGGGGGGGGGGGATTATTCCCACACAATCAAGAAAGACAGACAAACTGCTTGTGTGTCACGTGATCACATCATTCAAACCCTTGATCAATCTAAACCTTGTTTTCCTGTTTATGATGCTGGTATGAGAACTCAGCAACTAATGCAGGTGCCTTTCCTTGTAGGGACCTCAAACCAAAGGTAATGCTGCACTCTGCATCAAGCGGCTTGTCAAACACAAACATTCAAAAAACTTACATGTTATAAAAATTTAACTCGGGTTGAAACTCGGTAACTAACCAAATTTAATTGAATTATTCTGCATAAATGATGTAGGAATGTATTACAACACATCCACTTAAAGCACCGTGGGGTGACACTGGTGAGAGAAACACACAGAAATCATTCAATGGGAGTTTC